ACTTTTAATAAATTGACTTTCAAGTGTATTTAGTGCTTTAAGTCTCTTAGATTGATATTCTGTGTTTTGTTGAAGACGAATAACATTTTTTCGTTTTGTGTAATTTAAAAAAAAAACGCTACTACAACAGATTTTGTAATAGATTTGCATTTAATCGGTTTGTTTATTCAATAGAGTTAAATAGTTCATAAAATTCTCACACATTAAACAAGGGCACCAATTAAATAATATTCCATGCATTTCTATGCCCTCAATCTGGACTTACATTTGCCATCATCGAGTGGTTCGACAGCCTGACAAGTAGTTATTGATATGATCAGGAGAAATGACCAAATAAACATTGATATCAGCGGCCGCATTGTTGTGTAGGATGTCTATTCAAAATATTTTAAAATCACTTTGATTTAATGAATGTTAATTAGTCGCGCTATCAGCACTCGGGCCACAAAGAACGCCTACCAATATTAACATGCATATGCATATAAATATGTATATTCCTTTATATGCGACTAGGCAGTATAAATATATATGTATATTGGATGTGCTTAAGCTGAGAACGCGCTGAGACTCAGTCGACCACACGCGACGGACGAACAGCGGCGACTGTCTGACCGCCTCCGTTGGGGCTTACGTCGTCAGCTGCGGATGCAACGAATAAAACTTGTTTCAATCCGAGATTCAAAAATCATCGCACGTAAACAAAAGCAACGCACAGCCGCTGACTCAGACGCCGCTTGGGCTATACCGGGTTTTAATGGATTGATCAGAATCCGTGGGAGGTGCGTAAAGGGGAATTACACGGCCAAAGATCTAGCCCGTCCGGCTTTCATGGGGGCCAAAAAACCCTGCTAACCAAATAGATTTTAAATAACTTAAAAAAGTATAAATAAAATCATGCATTTATTTCCGATTATCTATCTCGCAATTATACTCTCGTGCCTTATCAATGCTGGTGATTTCTCCTAAAAACCTTATAAGTATTATAATTATTGGGGTATCTGAAGTAACTAAAATAAAAAAAAATAGTCTGTAAAATACATATACAGATTGTGTATCTAGCAATTATAATCTCGCAACTTATCAATGCAGCTGATTTCTGTTTATAACTTTTCAGTGTGTAATATTATTGGCGGCCTGCTTATCAGTCCGCGCAGCTTATCGGCGAGCGTCTGCCCCATTTCCAGACTGTGGGGCAGGGCACAATTGTCGGCGACTTGCAATATCAGTCGTATCTGGCACTTTGCGGCGTATCAACGCCTTCAACTTGATCTCCAGTCTCCAGTGATATTCCAGCGTGTAATTAAATTCTCAACTTATTCTCTATTAAATTATATGTCATAGTCGAGCTGTGAAAGTGTGCCATTGTATTCGAATGCTTAGCTCATTTTTGATGGGTTTATTCAGTCGCAGCTTCTACAAGTTTTCATAGTACGCGCATTCCTATGGCTTCCCAGTTGTTATTGACTTAACTAGTTGACGTTCTCTCGCGATTTCTGTGGATTCGGATTCGTGTAAAATCCCATTATATTTCCATTTTATAATTTCGATTCGTGTCTTAACTACAGTGGAATTAATAGTTCTCTCAAATAATATCTTCTCTGCTATTTAAATTACCAGCGACTGTAACTCCAAGGCCGTTTAATCGGCGCACTTTTTGTCTATATTGTTTTTGGCTTTTTTTTTTTGGTCGTAAATAACCTTTTATTTTGGCAATTAACTTGCCGGCAGTACCGAGCGTTTATCGTTTAATTTTTGTGTGTCAAGTTTACTGTGTATACGCATTGTATTTATTATATAAATATATATATATTAAACCGGTTTCGAGGCACACACCTCTGTTTATAGGTGCGTATATTGCATTAGGCTTGCATCACAAGCGCTTTACGCTTTGATGTTGCTTTGTTTTAATTATGATTGAATTAGTGCAATAATAAATATACTATATATATCTTAACAGTGATTATGGCTTGTGGAAAGAAAGAGTGCTTGAACTGGAAGTAAATACATAATTATTTTTAGTCATTGAAAAAGATTTTTGAAATTATTTCTAGTCTATATATTCAATTATTGTCTACATTAGCTATCACAAACAAATTTTCCACCCGATTGTAATCCACTTATCAACCTGCCAGCAGACGACCCAAAGGCGCTTAGTGCTATAAACTGTATATATATCCATATGAACTGTAGTATTTGTCTGAATAATAAATAACACGCTTTTGTTTATGCTAAACATCTATACAGACATCTATAGCATGCGTGCTATAGATAAGATTTGCACGTCTTTATAGCTAATATTAATACAATTATAACTGAAATAACTTTAAATATGTTTGAGCTAATAAAACAATTAACATTAAAATCTTATCTTTATCATATTTTATGCTGGCCCTTTGTTACAGACTGCTCTCTGGAAACGATTAGATAAGACTTTTGGTTCGCACATAGCAACATAGAATGTATAATATGCCTATTCTTAACTTCACAGACTCTTGTATGCTCTACAAATTGCCGGCATACTCGATGCATTAACTATGGTCCCATCAGCTGAGGTGAAACTAAAACAAATAAAGATTACGACGCCGGTGCATGGAGTCGTCAAACTGTGATATACTTTTGTGAAATTCTTTTTATATATACTATATATAATATATATATTGCATACTTCTGAGACAATGGCGCGAATAAACAAGCGCCTGCTGCCCATTAAGGCGCATTTCTTCTTCTTTATGGCGGGTAATTATAATTAATCTAATAAATAAATCTATGTTTAAATAAACCAATTCTTAACTGACTTTCAGCAATGGGTCCCATATTGCCGCAACTCCCAGTGATAGGCAAACAGATTGGCATTCCACCAGATATTATGGGCTATATATATGCCGTATTGCCCGTTCTCTATGTGCTTGCCAAGCCCCTTGTTGGCTTTCTGGCCGACTATTTCATAGTAAGCCGCACGAAAGTGGAATCTAAATTCTTACCTTAATCTAAAACCGATTTGATCCTCTGCAGAGCCTGCGCAAGTTCATCTTTATGGCATTGATTGCGATTATGACATTGGCTTATGCTGGCTTCTATTATTTGCCCAGTGAACCACATGCCATTGATCTGAACGAGACCAGCGTACAGTGGACAGTTACATTGACACAGGAGCCGCTACACTGTCCGCCAGAGGTTTCTGCATCTGATGCCTATTGCCAGGCAACGCGCCAGGCGCAGTGCAGCCAGGGGAACTACACCTTCCAGACGTTGATTGTGGCACCTCAGTCTGGCGCAGACCTAATCCTAGGCCCCAATCTGCAACATGGGAACGACAGCTACTTTATCTGCCTGACTGAACTGACACCGGCCATCTATTGGAGTAACACCAGCTTCGACTGTCAAGTGGAGTACATCGCCAGCTGTATTTACGGCAGCGGCACGTTTTGGCTCTTTGTCTGCTTGCTGTTCATCGGCACGATTGGCTTTAATGTGACCAATTCCATATCGGATGCCTGTTGCTTCGATTTGCTGGGCGAGGAGGAGCAGAGCAAATATGGTGCACAGCGCGTTTGGGGCACCATTGGATTTGGTGCCACCGCTCTGCTAGCTGGAGTTGTGGTTAATCTGTGGACCTCGGATGCTATCAAGAGCTTAACGCCAGCTTTGATTATAATGGGCGTGTTTAGTGTGCTGGATTTGTTTAGCGTGTCCAAGCTGAAGATGCCCAAACTGGGCGGGTCCGAGTCCATATGGAAGGATGTATGGGAGCTGGTGCGTCAGCCACCGATTGTTACCTTTCTGTTTTTCGCCACCATGGCAGGCATTATTGACTCCTTCATCATTTACTTTATGTTCTGGCATTTGGAAGAGGTGGCTGCTGAGACGGGCTACATGGCGGACATCAAGCTCATCGAAGGGCTTGTGGTGGCTGCCGAGTGTCTGGCCGGTGAGGTGCCATTCTTTTTCTACAGCGGTAAGATTATCAAGAAACTTGGCTATGTACACTGCATGAGCATGTGCTTCTTCTTCTATGCGGTACGCTTATCGCTCATATCCTGGATACCAAATCCCTGGTATCTAGTGGGCGTGGAGCTGTTCTTCCAGGGCATAACCTATGCCCTTTGCTACACTTGCATTGTTGCCTATGCTTCGGCAGTGGCACCACCCGGCACCTCAGCCACTGTACAGGGTCTCATGGCGGGCATGGATGATGGGCTGGGCTTCTCCATTGGCTCACTTATTGGGGGTATTATGTTAAAGCGTCTGGGCGGACGTGAAAGCTTCAAGTATTTTGCCATAGCTGCGATTTGCACCTGCGTGGCGCACATTGTGATGCGCCCGTTGTCCAGAAAACGCCAATATTTGCCCAAAAGCGGGTATCAAGTGCCTGCGGGGCAGGTGGAAAACGAACTCAAGCCGATGTCGTCCCATGAGCTGCCAAAAGTATATTAGTTCTAGTTCCCTTTTGTACTGTTGCACACGTTTTTATATCATTTTCTAACGCATACCCAATTAAAAACTTGTTTCCAAGTTGAATGACATTTACGATTGTTTTATTTGCACAAGTGCTCTTAATTTTTGGAGCACACGCGGCGCAGACAACTTTCAAGAGGCATATTCAAATGTTGAATAGTATCCAACAAACCATAAATAAATAAATCGAATCGTACAAAAGATTCTGAGGCGGCTTTTGAAAGTGAAACTGAATGCGTTTATTATTCCACAACGCGGCCAAATGTCGAGCATTTCCCACTCCATATATCAGCGAAAAAAACAAATCAACAAGATATTTGAACTTGGTTTACAGCACACATTAGAATTGAAACGCATTGAGAGACAAATAGAATGCCAAGTCTTGTGTAGGACAGTGTACTTAATTTATGCTTAAGTGTGGGTCTACTTGAGAGCTGTTCAAGTGGACGCTTGTAAAAAATGTAGATTGGGCAGCTATTCAAAATTTTGCTGTCCCAAACACTATATAAGCCTGGCCTAACTCTGGCAGTTCACATTTAAGGAAGATGCCAAAAGCGTTGTCGATTCTGTATCTAATGATCGTTCTAAGTACGAGGACGATCCAAGCTCGCCAGGTGAACAAATGTAGCCTGGCGCGGCAGCTTTATCGCTATGGTGTGCCCTACAACGAGCTGCCAGATTGGCTCTGCCTGGTCGAGGGTGAGAGCTCGTTCAACACGAGGGCTATTAATCCATCGAATGTGGATGGCTCCGTTGACTGGGGACTGTTTCAGATTAACGATCGCTACTGGTGCAAGCCAGCGGATGGACGACCGTCCACAGATCTATGTCGCTTACCGTGTCGACTGTTGCTCAGCAATGACATAAGGTATTCCATTGCCTGCGCAAAATATATCAGACAGCAACAAGGCTTCTCCGCCTGGGTGGCATGGAATAACCGCTGTCAAGGTGCGAAGCCAAAAGTAAACCGTTGTTTTAGACGAAAGCACAGGTATTTTGGCTAAATTGAAACAGCAATAAAATGTGATATTAAATTAACTGCTAAATAAAAATCGATGAATCAACTTGTTATATTTATTCATTATTTTATTTATATTAACGAATATTAAAAATCAAGAGTTCATGCAATATAATATATATATATTAATATCGTTTCTTAGCAAGTAAATAAAATAACTGATTTTGAAAGGATTTAAAAATCAATTCAAATTCACAGTGTTGACAAACGTCGACTGTATGATCTGGCAACTCTGTGCTGTATACGGGCGCAAGCTGACTGCTACACAACACAGCTGTGAGATATTCACCTTGGCCTCGGCATTGTTTACGCAGAAAAATTTGTGAAAATTAAGAAAAATTGTTAAAACCCAAATTAAAATGGCATCAGCGTCTAGTTCCAGTGCTCGTCACTTGTTTGATGATTCCAAGAAGCGTCTGTGCGCTCGCGTTGGCGTTAATGTGAACAACTTAGGTTCCGTAGCCAGGCAAGTGGTTCGAGGCTCCAAGACAAATGAGGTGGGTAAACAAATTAGTAATTCTATTAAATGTGCTAAACTATAAAGTGTAACACAGATTATGCATCAGACGCTGAAGAACTTCACTCAAGTGGACGTGGTTTCCGATTACAGCAATCAGAACCTGCAGAAGATGACGCTTATCCTACAGCATGTGGGTTATCAGTACGATGTGATGGAAGACAGCGTCAATCATTTGGACTACCTCAAGGAGCAGGTAACGGCTATGGAAAGATGATTGGAAGAGCAAAAGCCTAGACATTAGTTGACATTACGCCCACTATGATTTCGACAGTTACACATCATATATTTTCATAAATACCTAGCCACAACCTCGTCTAAGGTTAATCGCAGCACCCTGAGGGCCATGCGAGCAGCCCTTGACGGCGTCTGTGAAATCTGGTGTCGCTGGCAAACACAAAAGTGCGATAAGCGCCAAGATATCTGTGCGTGGTTAGCCTATAAAAGTTGCCAGCAACGAGAGTCACACGGTTATCCGTAAGTCAGCTTTCGCATCACATCATGCAGCGTATTCGTCTGCTTCTATTCGCTTGGCTGACATTTGCCGCTGCGCAGGAGATCAGCATAGAGAAGCAGAGGCTTACGGTGCCCCATGGCAGTCCTGGTCCACAGGACGGTCGCATTGTGGGTGGCTGGGAGACAAAAATCACACACTTTCCGCATCAGGTCTCAGTGCAGATGGGCACCCGTCATATCTGTGGCGGCACCATATTGGCGCCCAGCATTGTGCTCACCGCTGCTCATTGCGTGCTGAAGTCGAATGAGCCGCAACTCTATGCCATACGCGCCGGCTCAACCCAGTGGTCAACTGGTGGCAGCTACGTGCGCGTTCGTCGCATCATTCCCCACGAGCAATTCAACTCGCCCACGCACATGAACAACGACATCGCTTTGGTGCAGCTGCAACAACCGCTTAATTATAGCCTCAACATACAGCCTATTCAGTTCGTCGCGCCGACGGACAATTTGGCCGCACAGGCGCAGCTCTTTGTCAGCGGCTGGGGCTCAACAGCTGTCGAGCAAATGTCGACTGCATCGCGCCTGCATTACACAGTTATTGTTCAGCTGGATCGCCAGATTTGTACTCAGAACTATTTTGGTGCCGGCACCGTAACCAACACCATGTTCTGTGCAGGCAGCAAGTCCGGACTTGGAGATCGCGACAGTTGCATGGGCGATTCTGGTGGTCCATTGATTGTTCAAATTGCTGGTCGCTTCAAACTGCTCGGCATTGTATCCTGGGGCTTGGGCTGCGCAAATGCCCAGTATCCGGGCGTTTATACGCTTGCACCTGCCTATGGCAACTGGTTGTTGCAGACAGTTAAGACACTGACCTAGTCTTATTTTTATGTGTTAAGTTTTTGCATTAATGTGCACAATTCTGTATATACAATTAGGGAAACTAGTTTTGTAAAAGCAAGTTTAGCTTACCTTCAATGAAATTTAATTATTTGCTTTTAAGTATGTACATAAATATGTAGCTTCTCTTAATAAACAAAGTAACACCGTATTCAATTATTTTCCGCTCGGTAAATAATAAAGACAGTATGTTAAAACTTTAAACATTCTTAAACACTAGTTTTAAATCTTTAAGTATTTTTTACCTCTGTTTCTAAAATGCTTAAGTAGATATAAACTATTTCCGTCTGCCAAAAACTTTAAGCATATAATTAAATACATGATATAAAAGTGACAAGCATTTTCTCTTTCCAACAGATTAAAAGTTCCTTTCGTTAAGCCTATTAATAGAAATGCTTTCATCCACAAATCGTTCAAAGAATCCGTCAGCAATATATTATTTACTTGTTTTAAGTGGTTTCTATTGGCGAATTTATTTCTATTTGTAAATTAAATTTAATAGGAAAAATAAGCTTGTTTTATTTTCGATATTTCTTGCGTCATTCCTGTTTATTTAAGTTACGAACAATTTTAGGTACTCAAATTCCCAAATATATTATTCAAACTGTTTACTTTCATGTTTTACGTTAATTTGTTTAATATTTTACTATTGAAGTTTTCATCTGCTTATTTTCGTTTTTTTACTACCATAATTTACATTAATTCAAAGAGAGATTTGAGTACACAACTTCAAGCTTGCAAATTTTAAGAACATATGACATTGAGAGATTCTAGTATTAGAGGAACTAGGTTTATTTCGTAGAACAGCAAAGCTTGCTTATCTCGGGTATTATTACAAAAGACATTAAATTCAACATTAAAGTCGAATTGTCTTGTTTATGAATGCAAAATTGAAAAAAAAAAATGAAAAAACAAAACAAGTTTTGACTTTAAAGCTTTGATCGGCGTATATATAAAAAGCGAATCTGAGAAGCTAAAGCACTGAGAGCCAGACAAGTTTTTTCGGTTTCGACGACTACGACTAACAAAAATTCGCTTCAGGTTTTTAGTTTCCCAACGCAGTTCAACAAACAGACACACGTTAAAAAAAAAAGAAACAAAAAACCGACAGCATGAAGCAATTTCTCATATTGGTAAGCCATAGACAAAGATAGTTACTGAGCGCATAAATAACAACAACATTTCCGGTTGAATGTTGCAAGGTCGTTTGCGCATTGGGCGCCAGTCGCGCGGATGTGTCGCACCTGCAGTTGGCCACCACACCAGAGCCACATGCGCCAGCCAATCCGTATGTTTTCAGCTACCAGGCTGGACGTGCGCCTGGTCATGTAGATCGCCAGCATACGGAGGTGTCCGATGGTTCGGGCGTTATACGCGGCGCCTTCTCCTATGTGGATCCCAAGAATCAGGTGCGCACCGTTCAGTACGTGGCCGATGAGAATGGCTTCCATCCGCAGCTGAGTCATCAGCTGGAGGACAGCGAAGCCGTCAAGGCGGCTAAGCGCAAGCACTTTGCTGCCTATAATCGCATTGCGCAAGAGCACGCTAGCCACACACCAGGTCAAGCGGTGAGTATGGCACGTCACGAGCCAATCTCTTGCAAATTGTACATCGTTCACAATTTGATTTTATATTTCCATTCCACTTGCAGTCGCTCGCAGCTGCTCCCCATGGCAGCGCTGCCGTCAATTTTGCAACCCAAAAACACTTGAGCGCATATGATCGTATTGCAGCGGAGCATGCAGCTATTGGGGCCCAGCAGGAGGCACAACGCTTGGCACTGGCCGCTCAGTCGGAGCACGGCGACATTGACAATGGACAATATCATCCATAAGTTGCTAAGTGTGTGCTAAGTTCTGAAAGTGTGTTCAATAAACATTTCATTTGAAAAGATTTCCGTTAGTTTTTTATTCAATTGCCACAAAACCTGCAGAGTTGCCACTTTTATAAAATGCATTGGTGAACAGTGTTGGTAAGTCCAAAATGTGCAATGCATTACAAACATGTTTCTTAACTTTAAAATAAATCTTTATTTATTTTAAAATTTTTGAATAGTTGGTAGTAATTCGGCTAATAGTATAAGTTTCGCGTGCATGTTTCATAGATTTTTAGCTGTTTATATACATCTAGTTATAAACTCTTTATAAATTAATTTTATTACTCCTATTCATTAGTCAATTCATTTCCAGCATTTGGTGCATCATGAGTATACAGCTGTGTCTCTTATCGTCTATCATTTTGTCTGTAGTAAGTCTTAAATACATATAATGTTATTATTATTATTTTCCTTTCAGTTCAGCATAGGCAGTGGTAATGAAATATGCCAAAAGCTTAATAACATAACTAATGAGGAGCTAGGCATGCCTCAAAAATCACTAATCGAAGATATTCCAAATAAATTTAAATGCTACGGCAAGTGCTACGGCACGCCGAAGATTCAATATAGCAAATACTGAGTACGGTTAAGATATCTTGTAAAACAAAAAGTTTTTCATACCATAACCTCATTTTCGGCCGATCGTTCCTATGACATATTATATAGTGATCCGATGTAAACAAGATTTTGCAAAAATGTTGGAGCATAGTGAAAGTTAAAAATGCCGAGTTTGGTCAAGATATCTTAATAGACAAAAAAGTTGTTCATACAAGAGCCTACTTTTCGACCGATCGTTCCAATGGCTGGTATATGATATAGTGGTCCGATCCAGTCGGTGTCGACATATGTACTGCGTGCAACAGAAAATGGGACTTCTGCCAAGTTTATGGGGTCGAAGATGCCTCTTTCTCTGCGTTACAAATTTCGAGAAGAAATTACAATACCCTCTGCAAGGGTATAATAATTAATAATTCATTTAACTTGATACAACAATACCGATACCGAACATTGGCGGTCTATGTTGAAAGTCCGAAGGTTCATACAAACACGCTTCATTTAGTCTAAATACTTGTTCATTTTATTAACAGTTGTAACTAGAAAATTCTTTTATTTTATTTGAATGCATTCTGATTCACTTATATCTGGAAATTTGTGTTATTACTCATACGTAATTCGTAACGGCTTCTTGTTAAGAATTTGAACATTTTTTAGTTAAGTGAAAGAAAAAATATAAGCATTGAATCGAGAGACTCTGAATCTCACGGTATCAGCTGGTGCTGCTTTGTCTGGCTTGCTATTGTCTGATAAGCGAAAGCTCTCCCATTTTCATATAAATCAGCTTAACTCGAGCTTTAATTCCGCATTTTGTAACGAGCTCTCAGGGGAATACAAGATGCGTTTAGCTTTAAACTGCGCCTTCATTCTGACAGCCGTCGTGCTGTGTGCGGCGTACAAGGTGCCAAGCGCCCAAGTGCGAGTGTTCTATCCCAAGGGATTTGAGGTTTCCATACCGCACGAGGAGGGCATTACATTGTTCGCCTTCCATGGCAAGCTAAACGAGGATTTTGATGGATTGGAAGCTGGCACATGGGCGCGCGATATACCCAGTGCGAAAAAGGGACGCTGGACGTTCCGTGATCGGGAAACCGTTTTGAATATAGGCGACACGCTGTACTACTGGACCTTTGTCGTCTATAATGGATTGGGCTATCGCGAGGATGATGGCGCGTATGTGGTCACCGAGTATACGCAAGCTGGGAAGTCCTAAGACAGCTTGAAATAAGCACGAAATCTACGTTTCTATCGTGAATGGCTGATTTCCATTGTGTGTCAATTATAAAACCTGTCTTTAATTAACATTATAAGTAGCCATAGAAAGTTGAAATGGTTTATATGGGGTATTCTCTTATATATACGATACATAATATATAGAAAAACAAGCTTTTCGCTTGACTGTCTCCTGTTTCTTTGGTATATTTTACAGGGTATTCACAGTACAAGTACTCGCAACTGCGTTCTTTTAAAACGGACTTCTTCTTGGAACAATTGATATGTATCCTAGTAATTGTATTAATTTGGCGTACTTAAATGATTCTGAATAAAATTCGAATTGTTATGATATATACGGAATCCGATAGTGCTTCTCGCAGTCTGCATATGGGAAATGTCATGTATAATGCAATTAAGTCAACTGATATTTCAATATATAAAGCAAATGCTTTAATGAAAATGCATTTATTATACATCCAGACTCGCCTTGTGTGATTCATTTAATTATTTTTGTTAATAAAATTGCCAGTGCATATTTATGCTCTTTTAAACGCTGTAATTAATCATGAATAAATCGCAATGCATTAATGGTCACACGTGTGCAAAGGGGCTGCTCCACCCACCGATCCACCAACCCGACGAGCCACCAACTCGGCGACCCACATCAGCCATCAGCTCAGACAGCGCAAAGTTGCCAAGGATTCACAGGGCGAATTGATGAAGTTTTAGTTGAGGCAACTGCACTACGTGACGTGTGCGTATCCAGACGCAACGGCCACGCCCTTTGCCACGCCCATGTTCACCTTTTTTTGGTTGTCCTTGGACTCTTTGTGCTTCTTTCTCCAAATTTTTCCTCTTTTTTTGTTGGTCCTATGCTACAACAAAGCAAATGCAATTACAACGCAATGTGAACACATTTTCTGCACTCACTGTGGCGCATTCGCCAGCCGCGCTAAATTGGTCTGGCAAATTCTTTTCGGACGGCTACAGGTCTAAAGTCTGCGTCTGCATCTAGCACTACTTTTATAATTTCTGCACTTTTGTGCATTGCGTTAAACGCTTCAATGCCCCGGCGCTTTGCCTTACACCAATTGCCAAAAGTGCAACAAATGTTGCTTGTCCTTGTAGCAAGATAGTATTTTTTGCCATGGTAGAATAATAAATATCCTTTCGATTTGAACAAGAAGTTTTCATAAAACGTATTTTGTTAAAAATTATAATTTCTTTACATTAAATATATATATATATTTTATTTTGATTACTTAAAAGTGTGAAAATTGTTAAAAATTTGTTGTTATGTTTTGGGACTCGAAATCCCTATCAAATCACATTTGATTTAGAACTTGAATATAAAATTATAAAAAAAGGTCGCAAAAATTATATATATTAAAATTTATATATAAAGAATATTTTTTTTTTTTAATTTTATCTAATTATTTTTAATTTTGATTTTTTTATTTAATGTCCTCATTATGTCTTAGACATAAGAGATAAACATAGGTTAGATTCGAAATTCGTGAATATTGTCGGACAACCCTTCGGCTAGGGTAATAAAGGGCTGCTACACACGTTCAGGCGCTTAATGCCTGACACGTTTCGCTTTTGGGGCGTGCCCGTCTGCTAGCAGCACAACACACACACACACACACACACACACATACATATACATATTTTTACACCGTTTGTTGGAGCATGGCAAGTGTCATAAATATTCTTTGGCCCTGCTTTATTTCTTGCCACGCAGACGATGGAGACGACCGAGCAGTTTATCAATAATGCAAAACATTCGAGCGAGGGGTGTTTACACCAGTTTCTCCTCTGCGGAGGACGGGTGGTGGGGGGAGGGGTCTGCCAGTTGAGCGGTTTTAAGTTGCTTGGGCAACAGCTCCTTGGCTTCGATACCAACCTTAAGCCCATGACACCTCCCTTTCGCATTCGCATTCGCATTCTCGTTTTCATTCTCATTCCTATTCCCCGAACGACAGCAGCATCAGCATCCGCATCCGCATCAGCATCAGCATCAGGAGCCGTTGCATTCGATGTGCATGTTTGTCGATTTGACTACGATTGCGGAAACGTATACAGTTCGTTGATCATTATCCGGTTCGTGAGGCTTTCTGGGCAATCCGTTTGCCAGACACGTGACGTTGCCCACCAGAGTCTTGACGCTATTGAACTTACTTATTACCGAATCCAGTCTGAGTTTGGAGTGTGGGTTGTGGCATGGGTGGAAGGGAGAAGGGGGGGGGGGGGGGGGGTGGTACTTAGTAGTGACAACTAAAACACATTTCAATTGCTGGACACCAATGCGAAAGGCCGCTGCGAATTCCCTGGTTAATGTTTAGCCCAACCAAAGTGCTGAGAATTAACCGCCTGGCTGACTGGCAGCCACTTTGCCAATTGGCAGCCCGGCCGTAATGCCTAGTAATGCCTATGGCGCGCATTTAATGGTACTCTTCGGGCTGCTAATGGAGCGTGCTGTAATTGCATTTCGTATATATTTCTACGAGTACGTTGTATATCCATTATAAACGCAATGTGTGCCCCGTTCCGAGTGCATTTCAGTTGCACAAAAATTGCATACAAATTGAGGGCCCTCTCAATTTGTTGATAAACTGATGAGATTTTGCTAAAATCTGCCTTATCCTGAATGTTGTTGCTGTTAAATTTTAAACAGCAATTTGATTGATATTGTAAATTAGATCTTTTAAGCTACCCATTTTTATGGGGTTCTTCTAAGATTGCGTATCACATTTGCGACATTGTCGTTGTTTTGTGGCGAAAGATGAAAGCCCACCACTGAGAGTAATTATCAAGATTTACCGACGATATCCCATCTTATCTTATTTGAATATATACAAGCACAACAATAGTCGCCCACTTTTGAGTCCCTTCAGAGGGTTAGGAAAGCTTTTCGCCCATTGATAGCGATATTAACCATTATTAACACTTCAAAAAAGGCATTAGTTCGAAACGATTTTGCTATATATTTTGTCCGCTTTTTCTTACTTTTCAAATACGATCGATAAAAAATTTATATTTTCATAGTTTAGAAAGCCAGAGTGATAATCTTTGAAATTCTGACTAATAATGAGATTCTCTACGGATCAATCCCAAAATATCGATCTCTTCTCTTCTTCTCTTTTAAAATTTGGATTGTAACCTGTTTGATACTTCTGTACAACGGACGAGTATTATGCAGTGCAAGATAATTTTTATACTTGTTCTCTTTTCTTGTCAAAATTTCCTCCAAAGAATTTATTTCTTCGTAGAGAGCATTAAAATTTATTCAAAAATTTTTTAGCGAAAAGAAGGTTTTTGTATGCAAAACATTTGCGTTTGAATAAACACAACTATCATTTATTAGTTTCACTATGCTCCTAACATATTTGTAAAATCTTATTTAGATTAAACTAGGCAATTTTATATTTAAATATGCAAATACCATACATGACAAATCTTTTTGTAGCACTATTATTTTAGATTATCTGCAGAGCTGCATGGCAAAGGTGTAAAAGGGTATAAAATCTTCGATGTCCTTTTTTGTAAAGTCATCTAGCTTGATAACTTAGACAAAAAGATGTTAGTGAATACATTTTAATGTATTTGTGCCTGAAAGTTGTACTTCTTTATTTGTTTTTTTGTTGATAGATGATACACGAATTAGGTTTAGCGCACGGTGCAATCTAATTATATATACACAGAAATATCAGTCATGTTTCACTCGACTTAAATCAATAAACACAACTGAAAATTGGCACATTTTGAGCCACTGACAGGCAATGGAATCGAATCGCATAAGAAGCTGCCGATCAAAATCAAATTAGAGCAAATGCGAGGCACTTATAGGAAATGCGCACTGCAAGTCACAGGAAACAGGAAAGCGCGGAGGCTGGCAAAATCAAATAACAAAATCTGATTGAATTGAGACTGAGGTAAAGGTAAAACGGTAAACGCTGATTTATTGATTTTCAAACAGCAACTTTGACATATTCCATCTGCTTTTCCTACTATTAAATAAAGCAAATCCACAGGCTTGCAGAGTCCTTTGTGCTGCGCCTGTTGCAAATTGCTGAAATTGTGCAACAGCGCAGCTGCCACATTTTAAATAAGTAGCTTATGTATGCACTCGAACAATGTCAATTCGGGCACTTACGCACACCGAAATTTTATTAGCAACACATTTTCTTTTGTTCGCTAAACGATTTTTTATTTTCTTACCCTTGGGAAAGGATATTTTAAATTTGTCATACATTATGCAACATAAGGAGTAAGAGTAAAGCATTTATGTTATTCTCCTCCTATATCATATTGTTATCTATATTCTTCTATCAATATCATACAGCTGCCATAGGAACGATAGGTCCAAAATTAAGATGTTGCTTTTACAGTTGTTTGCTTTATATGATATGTTGACCAATCTTGGCACTTGAGAGTTTTTTCTAGCCCCCTACATATGAAACTCTCGTATATACATATGCATCGGACTTCTTTATCAAAAAGCTCAATGGGAAAAATCGTAAGAAAATGAACTTTTGTCCAGACGATCACATTTTTCTAAGATATCTTCTCGAAGGAAAAATCGTTTGGACATAACGCTTTTGTGTCTACAAAGGGTATTTGAAATGCTGCGTGCCCAAGATACTCATTTTTTCTTGTTTATTTTTATACCCTGCACCCATTAAAAATGGGTATAAGGGTATATTGTATTTGTGCGAAAGCCAAATGTATGTACAGGCAGAAGGAAGCAACTCCGACCCCGTCCGTCCGTATGTATGAACACAAGGATCTCAGAACCTATCAGAGCTAGAGACTTGAAATTTAGATGTAGATGCTCCTAGCTCCCCCGCAGATCGAGTTTGTTTCCGATAATCGATAACTTACTCCGTTTTCAAGCAATCGATATCGATATACTGTTTTTTGGGAAATTTTGGTAAATAATAAGAACTAGAGTCACCAAACTTGACATATAGCTTCTAAAATAGAATATATATATGATATAGGATTTTTCTTCATGGTTTTCCCTCTAGTTTAATCTGGCATTCAAATCTCGACACCGATTTTTTGGTCGAAATTCATGTCCAAATCTTACCCCAAGATTCGTATATCGACATGGGTCAAAAATGACCACCCCCATATCTCGGTCAAATCTCATCCGATTTTCACGAAGTTTGGCTTTTTCTTCATGGTTTTCCATCTAGTTTAATCTGGCATTCAACGCTCGACATCGATTTTTTGGTCGAAATTCACATCGAAATCTTACCCCAAGATTCGTATACAGACATGGGTCAAAATTTACCACCCCCATATCTCGGCCAAATCTCATCCGATTTTCACGAAGTTTGGATTTTTCTTCATGGGTTTATCTCTTGATTAATCTGGCATTCAAATCTCGACATCGATTTTTTGGTCGAAATTCATGTCCAAATGTTTTACCTCTTGATTAATCTGGCATTCAAATCTTGACACCGATTTTTTGGTCGAAATTCATGTCCTAATCTTACCCCAAGATTCGTATATAGACATGGGTCAAAATTTACCACCCCCATATCTCGGCTAAATCTCATCCGATTTTCACGAAGTTTGGATTTTTCTTCATGGGTTTACCTCTTGATTAATCTGGCATTCAAATCTTGACACCGATTTTTTGGTCGAAATTCATGTCCTAATCTTACCCCAAGATTCGTATATAGACATGGGTCAAAATTTATCACCCCCATATCTCGGCCAAATCTCATCCGATTTTCACGAAGTTTGGATTTTTCTTCATGGTTTTCCCTCTGGATTAATCTGGCATTCAAATCTGTACACCGATTTTTTGGTCGAAATTCATGTCCAAATCTTAGCCCAAGATTCGTATTTAGACATGGGTCAAAAATTACAACCCCCATAACTCGGTCAAATCTCATCCGATTTTCACCAAGTTTGGCTTTTTCTTCATGGTTTTACCTCTTGATTAATCTGGCATTCAAATCTCGACATCGATTATTTGGTCGAAATTCATGTCCAAATCTTACCCCAAGATTCGTATATAGACATGGGTCAAAAATTACAACCCCCATATCTCGGTCAAATCTCATCCGATTTTCACAAAGTTTGGATTTTTCTTCATGGTTTTCCCTCTAGTTTAATCTGGCATTCAAATCTTGACACCGATTTTTTGGTCGAAATTCACATCCAAATCTTACCCCAAGATTCGTATATAGACATGGGTCAAAATTTATCACCCCCATATCTCGGCCAAATCTCATCCGATTTTCACGAAGTTTGGATTTTTCTTCATGGTTTTCCCTCTGGATTAATCTGGCATTCAAATCTCGACACCGATTTTTTGGTCGAAATTCATGTCCAAATCTTACCCCAAGATTCGTATATAGACATGGGTCAAAATTTATCACCCCCATATCTCGGCCAAATCGCATCCGATTTTCACGAAGTTTGGATTTTTCTTCATGGCTTTCCCTCTAGTTTAATCTGGCATTCAAATCTCGACACCGATTTTTTGGTCGAAATTCATGTCCAAATCTTACCCCAAGATTCGTATATAGACATGGGTCAAAATGTACCACCCCCATAACTCGGTCAAATCTCATCCGATTTTCATCAAGTTTGGCTTTTTCTTAATGGTTTTCCCTCTAGTTTAATCTGGCATTCAAATCTCGACACCGATTTTTTGGTCGAAATTCATGTCCAAATCTTACCCCAAGATTCGTATATGGGTCAAAATTTATCACCCCCATATCTCGGCCAAATCTCATCCGATTTTCACGAAGTTTGGATTTTTCTTCATGGTTTTCCCTCTGGATTAATCTGGCATTCAAATCTGTACACCGATTTTTTGGTCGAAATTCATGTCCAAATCTTAGCCCAAGATTCGTATTTAGACATGGGTCAAAAATTACAACCCCCATAACTCGGTCAAATCTCATCCGATTTTCACCAAGTTTGGCTTTTTCTTCATGGTTTTACCTCTTGATTAATCTGGCATTCAAATCTCGACATCGATTATTTGGTCGAAATTCATGTCCAAATCTTACCCCAAGATTCGTATATAGACATGGGTCAAAAATTACAACCCCCATATCTCGGTCAAATCTCATCCGATTTTCACAAAGTTTGGATTTTTCTTCATGGTTTTCCCTCTAGTTTAATCTGGCATTCAAATCTTGACACCGATTTTTTGGTCGAAATTCACATCCAAATCTTACCCCAAGATTCGTATATAGACATGGGTCAAAATTTATCACCCCCATATCTCGGCCAAATCTCATCCGATTTTCACGAAGTTTGGATTTTTCTTCATGGTTTTCCCTCTGGATTAATCTGGCATTCAAATCTCGACACCGATTTTTTGGTCGAAATTCATGTCCAAATCTTACCCCAAGATTCGTATATAGACATGGGTCAAAATTTATCACCCCCATATCTCGGCCAAATCGCATCCGATTTTCACGAAGTTTGGATTTTTCTTCATGGCTTTCCCTCTAGTTTAATCTGGCATTCAAATCTCGACACCGATTTTTTGGTCGAAATTCATGTCCAAATCTTACCCCAAGATTCGTATATAGACATGGGTCAAAATGTACCACCCCCATAACTCGGTCAAATCTCATCCGATTTTCATCAAGTTTGGCTTTTTCTTAATGGTTTTCCCTCTAGTTTAATCTGGCATTCAAATCTCGACACCGATTTTTTGGTCGAAATTCATGTCCAAATCTTACCCCAAGATTCGTATATGGGTCAAAATTTATCACCCCCATATCTCGGCCAAATCTCATCCGATTTTCACGAAGTTTGGATTTTTCTTCATGGTTTTCCCTCTGGATTAATCTGGCATTCAAATCTCGACACCGATTTTTTGGTCGAAATTCATGTCCAAATCTTACCCCAAGATTCGTATATAGACATGGGTCAAAATTTATCACCCCCATATCTCGGCCAAATCTCATCCGATTTTCACGAAGTTTGGATTTTTCTTCATGGTTTTCCCTCTAGTTTAATCTGGCATTCAAATCTCGACACCGATTTTTTGGTCGAAATTCATGTCCAAATCTTACCACAAGATTCGTATACAGACATGGATCAAAAATTACCACCCCCATATCTCGGCCAAATCTCATCCGATTTTCACGAAGTTTGGATTTTTCTTCATGGTTTTCCCTCTAGTTTAATCTGGCATTCAAATCTCGACACCGATTTTTTGGTCGAAATTCATATCCAAATCTTACCCCAAGATTCGTATATAGACATGGGTCAAAAATTACAGCCCCCATAACTCGGTCAAATCTCATCCGATTTTCACGAAGTTTGGATTTTTCTTCATGGTTTTCCCTCTAGTTTAATCTGGCATTCAAATCTCGACACCGATTTTTATGTCGAAATTCATGTCCAAATCTTACCCCAAGATTCGTATATAGACATGGGTCAAAAATTACCACCCCCATATCTCGGCCAAATCTCATCCGATTTTCACGAAGTTTGGATTTTTCTTAATGGTTTTCCCTCTAGTTTAATCTGGCATTCAAATCTCGACACCGATTTTTTTGTCGAAATTCATGTCCAAATCTTACCCCAAGATTCGTATATAGACATGGGTCAAAAATTACCACCCCCATATCTCGGCCAAATCTCATCCGATTTTCACGAAGTTTGGATTTTTCTTCATGGTTTTCCCTCTAGTTTAATCTGGCATTCAAATCTCGACACCGATTTTTTTGTCGAAATTCATGTCCAAATCTTACCCCAAGATTCGTATACAGACATGGATCAAAAATTACCACCCCCATATCTCGGCCAAATCTCATCCGATTTTAACGAAGTTTGGATTTTTCTTCATGGTTTTCCCTCTAGTTTAATCTGGCATTCAAATCTCGACACCGATTTTTTGGTCGAAATTCATATCCAAATCTTACCCCAAGATTCGTATATAGACATGGGTCAAAAATTACAGCCCCCATAACTCGGTCAAATCTCATCCGATTTTCACGAAGTTTGGATTTTTCTTCATGGTTTTCCCTCTAGATTAATCTGGCATTCAAATCTCGACACCGATTTTTTGGTCGAAATTCATGTCCAAATCTTACCCCAAGATTCGTATATGGGTCAAAATTTATCACCCCCATATCTCGGCCAAATCTCATCCGATTTTCACGAAGTTTGGATTTTTCTTCATGGTTTTCCCTCTGGATTAATCTGGCATTCAAATCTCGACACCGATTTTTTGGTCGAAATTCATGTCCAAATCTTACCCCAAGATTCGTATATAGACATGGGTCAAAATTTATCACCCCCATATCTCGGCCAAATCTCATCCGATTTTCACGAAGTTTGGATTTTTCTTCATGGTTTTCCCTCTAGTTTAATCTGGCATTCAAATCTCGACACCGATTTTTTGGTCGAAATTCATGTCCAAATCTTACCACAAGATTCGTATACAGACATGGATCAAAAATTACCACCCCCATATCTCGGCCAAATCTCATCCGATTTTCACGAAGTTTGGATTTTTCTTCATGGTTTTCCCTCTAGTTTAATCTGGCATTCAAATCTCGACACCGATTTTTTGGTCGAAATTCATATCCAAATCTTACCCCAAGATTCGTATATAGACATGGGTCAAAAATTACAGCCCCCATAACTCGGTCAAATCTCATCCGATTTTCACGAAGTTTGGATTTTTCTTCATGGTTTTCCCTCTAGATTAATCTGGCATTCAAATATGAACATCGATTTTTAGTCGAAATGCATGTCCAAATATTACTCCAAGATTCGTATATACACATGGGTCAAAATTTATCACCCTCATATCTCGGTCAAATCTCATCCGATTTTCACGAAGTTTGGATTTTTCTTCATGGTTTTCCCTCTAGTTTAATCTGGCATTCAAATCTCCACACCGATTTTTTGGTCGAAATTCATGTCCAAATCTTACCCCAAGATTCGTATATAGACATGGGTCAAAAATTACCACCCCCATATCTCGGTCAAATCTCATCCGATTTTCACGAAGTTTGGCTTTTTCTTAATGGTTTTCCCTCTAGTTTAATCTGGCATTCAAATCTCGACACCGATTTTTTTGTCGAAATTCATGTCCAAATCTTACCCCAAGATTCGTATATCGACATGGGTCAATGGGACATGGGGTCCACCCCCATATCTCGGTCAAATCTCATCCGATTTTCACGAAGTTTGGCTTTTTCTTTATGCTTTTCCCTCTAGTTTAATTTGGCATTCAAATCTCGACACCGATTTTTTGGTCGAAATTCATGTCCAAATCTTACCCCAAGATTCGTATACAGACATGGATCAAAAATTACCACCCCCATATCTCGGCCAAATCTCATCCGATTTTCACGAAGTTTGGCTTTTTCTTCATGGTTTTCCCTCTAGTTTAATCTGGCATTCAAATCTCGACACCGATTTTTTGGTCGAAATTCATGTCCAAATCTTACCCCAAGATACGTATATAGACGTGGGTCAAAATTTACAACCCCCATATCCCGGCCAAATCTCATCCCATTTTCATGAAGTTTGGCTTTTTCTTCATGGTTTTCCCTCTAGTTTAATCTGGCATTCAAATCTCGACACCGATTTTTTGGTCGAAATTCATGTCCAAATCTTACCCCAAGATTCGTATATAGACATGGGTCAAAAATTACCACCCCCATATCTCGGCCAAATCTCATCCGATTTTCACGAAGTTTGGATTTTTCTTCATGGTTTTCCCTCTAGTTTAATCTGGCATTCAAATCTCCACACCGATTTTTTGGTCGAAATTCATGTCCAAATCTTACCCCAAGATTCGTATATAGACATGGGTCAAAAATTACCACCCCCATATCTCGGTCAAATCTCATCCGATTTTCACGAAGTTTGGCTTTTTCTTAATGGTTTTCCCTCTAGTTTAATCTGGCATTCAAATCTCGACACCGATTTTTTTGTCGAAATTCATGTCCAAATCTTACCCCAAGATTCGTATATAGACATGGGTCAAAATTTATCACCCCCATATCTTGGCCAAATCTCATCCGATTTTCACGAAGTTTGGATTTTTCTTCATGGTTTTCCCTCTAGTTTAATCTGGCATTCAAATCTCCACACCGATTTTTGGTCGAAATTCATGTCCAAATCTTACCCCAAGATTCGTATATAGACATGGGTCAAAAATTACCACCCCCATATCTCGGTCAAATCTCATCCGATTTTCACGAAGCTTGGCTTTTTCTTAATGGTTTTCCCTCTAGTTTAATCTGGCATTCAAATCTCGACACCGATTTTTTTGTCGAAATTCATGTCCAAATCTTACCCCAAGATTCGTATATAGACATGGGTCAAAATTTATCACCCCCATATCTTGGCCAAATCTCATCCGATTTTCACGAAGTTTGGATTTTTCTTCATGGTTTTCCCTCTAGTTTAATCTGGCATTCAAATCTCCACACCGATTTTTTGGTCGAAATTCATGTCCAAATCTTACCCCAAGATTCGTATATAGACATGGGTCAAAAATTACCACCCCCATATCTCGGTCAAATCTCATCCGATTTTCACAAAGTTTGGCTTTTTCTTAATGGTTTTCCCTCTAGTTTAATCTGGCATTAAAATCTCGACACCGATTTTTTTGTCGAAATTCATGTCCAAATCTTACCCCAAGATTCGTATATAGACATGGGTCAAAATTTATCACCCCCATATCTTGGCCAAATCTCATCCGATTTTCACGAAGTTTGGATTTTTCTTCATGGTTTTCCCTCTGGATTAATCTGGCATTCAAATCTCGACACCGATTTTTTGGTCGAAATTCATGTCCAAGTCTTACCCCAAGATTCGTATATAGACATGGGTCAAAAAGTACCCCCCCCCCCCCCATGTCTCGGCCTAATCTCATCCGATTTTCACGAAGTTTGGATTTTTATACCCTGAACACATTAAAAATGGGTATAAGGGTATATTGTATTTGTGCGAAGGGCAATGTATGTAACAGGCAGAAGAAAGCAACTCCGACCCCATAAAGTAAATATATTCTTGATCTGCATAAATAGCTGAGTCGATCTAGCCATGTCCGTCTGTCTGTCCGTCCGTCCGTCCGTCCGTACATATGAACGCAAGGATCTCAGAACCTATAAGAGCTAGAGACCTAAAATTTTATATGTAGATGCTCCTAGCTCCCGCGCAGATAGAGTTTGTTTCCGATAATCGATAACTTACTCCGTTTCCAAGCAATCGATAAAAATCGATATCGATATCCTGTTTTTGGGCAATTTTGGTAAATAATAAGAACTAGAGTCACCAAACTTGACATATAGCTTCTAAAATAGAATAAATATATGCATTTGATGTTGGAAGAAGAGGGTTCAGGGTATCCTCTAGTCGGGAGCTCCCGACTAGAACATCTTACTTGTTATTTTATGTTTCATTTAATTTTTATTTTTATTTTCATTTTATTTTATATTATGCTTTTTTTGTTGTTTGCCGCTGCTGCTGTTTGTTTGTTGTTTGCGTTTGGCGTTGAGTAGCGGAAATAGTAAAAGTTTTCTAATGAGAAAAGTTTACACACAGAGACAGAAAGGAAGCCCGAAGGAGAGTGGCAGAGAGAGAGAGAGCGCGACAAAAATAGGAGTGAAGCAAAAGAGCGGGTGCTTCTAAGATGCAGACAACGAGCAACCCATATAAAGAGGCACCGCTGGAACCAACGGCGTTGTCCACACTGGCGACGAATTTAATCATCTGCCTTTACTGTTGGTCCCGTTGTTGTTCATGTTATTGTTGTTGTTGCTGTGTGCGCGAATGTGCACATCAAAAACTAAACACGTCAAAGTAAGCAACGGAAATGAGAAAAAAGTGCGCTTATTTATTTTGTACTCTTTTTCAACAATTTCGTTTTTGTCGCCTGCACCTCTATTTGACTTGGTTGACAACGAGAGACTGAGACAAAGACAAAGACGGCGACAGAAACACGCATTTTGCGCCCTACGCCTTTCGGCACGTCAGCATCAAAGCGTGTTATAATTTCAAAATTATGCAAAGCTCTGGTAAACGTGGACGTGAACTCATTCCGGCGTGTTTAGTGCCGGATATGAAGAAGAAGACCATGAAAAGAGCCCAATACTCGCACACAGTTTTCAAGTGCCAGGGCTGCAATTGACATGGTGGTGAACTTTGGCAACAGGGCGTATTATAATCAATAAACATTCAAGATATGTAACTCTAACACGTTTATTTTAGCCAAAAATTTATTAACTGATCAGATATACTTCATTAATTACACTATGTTAAGCCAACCCTATATAAAACCTTACTCTTTTGGTACACTTTTTTAATTATCTTTTATTTTATATTTTTAACTATTATTTAAAATATGTTCATAAAACCATAAATAATTTTGCAGAAAGTTCAAGCCTCTAATTGCTGAATTTGGCCAATATATATTGAAAACCGAAAGAATAAATAAATGCTTGATAGGTTCGATTACATTTAGTGACAAAATTATAATACCTTCTACAAGGGTAGAGAAACATTTAAAATAAGTTTACAAGTTAAGTTTAAGTTTTATTCAAGAAATATAAAATGGATTTAACATCTGAATTGTCTGTTATATAAATAGGTTTCTCGCTTTTAAAACAAATCATTTAATGTATCATATTCCAGTAAATTAATTTAGCGCGAGCATTATTTATGCGTGCGTATTATGCATATCTTACTTCCTCAATTTTCCAATTTGTGTATATTTTAAGAGTAGCTGGAAAATTGGCTTGGTCAGCATAATATCACAATAGCTCACCGAAACACACTCTCATTTTAAATGCCGCCCTTTTGATGTTAATGCAGATGTATCTTGAGGATACATCTTGCTTTATGTCATTTGGCAGCTGCTAATAACTCGGATTTAATAAACAATTAAATTGTTGCCCCTGTGCGATACGTATCGACAATTACTTGGCAAGCTGACATTTTACAAGATTTCGGATAACGTTTAACAAGCCAATTAAAATCGAAATACCCATGGGGGCAGAACGTATATAAGAAGCTGCACAGCTAACTGCTGGCCAGCGGCGAGAAGTCACAGTTTCTCCCATTCCCAAAATATTGAACGCGACGTGACGGCTCGAAAATGAAGCTATTTTGCGTTGTTTTGGTTGTTTACGTGGTGGCTTTGACATTGTTCGGCGTGGACGGACGTGGTGGCGGTGGCGGTGGCTCCACAAAGGGCTTGGAGGTAAGCGACATAATACTTGCTGCACTATTACAAATATTTAAAATAAGTTTTTGCTACAGGAGCCCGTGCGCCTCTTTGTCAGGGTAAGTCTGTTGTGAAATAAATGGCACAAAAGTTAAAATCTCTCTGCCCCAAGACGCGTCGCCAATTAAGCGTTAATGAAGAGGAATTGGTGCGGCGACGCCTCCTGGGTTATAAGAATTTACTTATGCGATTTTGCCAATGCCTACTAATTCTAGACACGGCGCCATGTTCACACTCATAAAAAGGGACTTGAGAGCGCATCGGCTTATGTCAACAACGAGCAACCGCCACCACCCCCACCACATTTGAGAGTAAGCTATCAGATATAACTATAAAGTATTACATCTGAAATCTGTCCATATGCTAACAGCCCCGTCGTAATACCATTAACTTGAACAACGAACCAACGCAGGTGACTAACGAAGAACCACCACCACATACCAGGGTAAGTAAAATATTCCAATACTTTACTATCAGCTACTCCTATCTTTATTAACTAGTTAGTTCCCATTTGATCTGTGTTCATTCCTCTGTATTCTGGCAACAATAAGGTTACCCATTCATTGGCCAGCTACCACCTGGTATTCCCTTACCACTAGCTAGTATACCAATACCAATACCCTTGCGCTAAAGCGATGTTAATGGAAGCATTATAAGAAAAAAATGGTTATAGGACTTTCTCAGTACCAGGAGCCTCAGCGAGCTCATTTGTCATTTAGGGAAAATATTTTTTTGAACTTGTTAGGCATAGTTTTAAAAGACTCAAATTAGAGACTATGCAACATCATCAAAGAGTTAAATCACTTTACTAATTGCACATTATTTATTATTTCTGGCTCAACAGCAACGCCGCCAGATGCCATCGCCACCTGAGGGAATGCCAGCACCGCCTGATGGAGTGCCAGCACCACCCGCGGGTATGCCAGCACCACCAGCTTAAGGATAAGGAATAGCTAAATATTATTTACATACATATATCATATAGTAAGGCGCTTGCGTAGGGGTTAGGGAACCACGGCAACAATAAGGAATTAGCCATAAAATAAAATATGTTTCAAGCATTCCAAAAAAACATTTACCAAATCGCCTAGCTGATTTATAAACTCATAAACGATTTAACATTTCCAAGTAGTATCTGTAATCTGCGCTAATCCTCTGCAGCTGCTCCGCAAACATAAATCAGGTAGTTTTGCCCAGATGCTACCTGCAATTTTTTTTTTTCCATGACGCGTATTTAAGAGTCTGTTGGTTGTGAGTTTAGTCAGTTGCAGATCGTCTTTCGTCAGGATGAAGCTCGTTGCGTTTCTTTTGCTAAGCAGCCTCACTTTTGCCTTGGTTCTGGCCTTTCCTGATAACCACAATGCAGTTGCTGATTTGCCAGATGCTGACCTGCATGCTGATGCAATTTCCACGACAGGAGAGGGAGGCGCCGCCACGCCATCAGAGACTAATCAGCTACGTCGGCCACGTCATCTTCTGAAGAAGCTGTACTATCCACAGCCACAGGTGATAGTACAACCAATTCTGGTACAACCGCAGCCCTACTATACCAATTCCTACATTGGTGCTGGTCGAGGTTATAATATTGGCTATGGCATAGGAAAAAGCTATAAGAAATGGTAGAACATTTTATCGAAAATTTAATAAATGAAAATGTTGTCTTAAAGCAAAGCGCTTTTTGTTGTTCCTTTTTTATGCAAAGTCAAATTTCTCCAGCGCAAATCCCTTAAGTCCAAAACAGTCGTAGACTTGACGGCAACGGTCGCATTTTCTTCCAAACTCCCGCCACAATTGTCTCTCTAATGCCTAATTAGGCATGCTAGGCACGTAAGTCTAATTCCCAAAAACTTAGAGAAGGTCGCGGCTCGTCGGTTGGAATGCAAGATTTTTAAATAATTTCAATATATTACAGCATTTAAAGTCAGAGAAAAATGAAGAGCTAATTCCGCTCGTGAAGTCAAAAATGTTTAAGATATATTTAAAAAAAAAACTATATTTATATATTAAATAAATATTTTACAATAAAATTAAATGAAATAAAATATTTGCTAATAGATATAAAAAATATGTAAAGTTTTGAAATATTCAGCCTGTCTTGTTAATTAAGTTTTGACAATTAAGGCTTATGAGCATTAAATACAATTACCAGGCTACATCGTAATTGAGTTGTTACGATTTGGGATTAAGAACATTTAATATTAAAAAACTTATTACAATTTTCAATAAATATCTTGAAACGCATTTAATACCAAAGAATTTGGTTTAGGCCAAGCCGAAGCAGCTTCTTGCCAGAATTTAAAATTGATGACAGCTGATTTAGTGTATTGGACGGTGTGCCAGCCCTGAACAACTACCTGGGGACTCATCAGCCATCAACTGAGCAGCGCGCCCATGGGGTCCCAAACGGGCAGTTCCACGCTGGGCTGAGTTTGAAGCGCGTGCATCACGCCTGGCGGCACATAGCGGGAGTCGACAACTATCTCGAAGGCATACTCCCGCAGCCAGTCGACGTTTAAGACGGTAGCCTTGCCGCTGGCCACTTTGCGCTTGACTGCATACTGCTTGGCCTCAGCGTCAGCATCAACAGCTTCCGGCAGTCGCAGGCTATCTGAGGACTCCGTCTTTTTGGTGGTTGTCGGTTCTGTTGCCTTTCGCATTGTGCGAAATTGCAACGGCTGCCGCATTGCATCCAATGTGACCTCTGTCAGCAATAGCACTGTATTGCGACGCGTCGCCTTGTAGAGCATACGTTCGGCTTTGTCAAGTGCCGTGTCCACGGGCATGCCAAAAACCTGATCAAAGTGGTACGCTTTCAGGCTAAGCACATCCGACTTGGTGTTATACAAAACTGGCAGATCGCAGGCCAGCCACACAGCTGAGCCTGCTGCCAGAGACTTTACGATGGCTTCCAGCAGAATCTCCATTGGTTGGTTGATGTACCTTTGCTGTAGTCCGTCAATCATGTTAGAGCTGTTTGCGATGTGATAGTTGCGGTGATAGATGGAGGTGAGGCGGGGATCGTGGCCCAGGCAAACCTGCGCATCGCGTGAAAAATAGGGCTCTATCATGGCTTGGTAAAAGCTCAGCGGTGTATAGACTAGCCTCTGGTCTTCATCTTTTAAGCTCCACGTAAAGTTAACGGGCGGCGTTCCCAAGCAAATGCTTATTATTTTGTAAAGCTCTTCAATCATGGGTTCCAGATATATTAATCGCAGCATATGGCTATCTCCATCAAATGTAAATTTCGCATGCAGTCGGCAGCTAAACTCGTGCAGCTGCAAGATTTAACGACTTAGTCTCAATCCAACCGGATGTGAGGTAGACAGCACTTACCTTGCTCCTAAGCATCTTGTTGAGATGCAGCGATCGAGTTGACGACCAACTAGCCAGATAGGATTGCTTGGGCATAGCACCGTACTTCTGGATGAGATTCACAAACATCTGCCAATTCCCGCCATCGGGCACCGTGTGTTTCATCAAGTACTTAAAGGTGCGCCCATCTATTGGCTCACAACGTGCTAGGAGCTCTATCACAGTATGGAGAAAATAATTACAGCGCTCCAGCTTGTGCCAGTAGAACAGATAAGGGGCGGAGAGTTCGCAATCCTTGCGCATGGATAAACGGAGCAGATCGAGGCCAGCACAGATCCATTTCGGGCCGCCAACCGTCGACTTGCCAGCTTAGTCACCTCATAGTGTTCCGTTGCCGGGCATAGTTAACGATTTCTGATCCTGCCTCATACAAGCGCTGAGTCGGATCACACGCGGTACAAATATTTTGGGCCAGTCGGTTAATTGGCAGGCGTAAAGAAATCAGAACGCCATTTTGGGACAACTGGACTTTTCAGGTGTAAAGCAGGGCGGTAATGTGGCGGCGAATCGCCCATGTTCGGAATTTGCGAGAGCTATGACAGGAAGAAAAAAGAATGAAAGAGATAGAAAGGAAAAGATTACAAAAAACAGTTTGGGTTGTGGGTGCAGGGGGGCTAGAAGCAAACAGGCCCAGATGAGGGCGGGAAGAAACGGGCGGGAACGAAACCAGGGCTGAAAGCAGGCAGAAGAGGGAAAGGGAAGCGAGAGGAAGGGAAACGGAAACAGGGGCGAAAGGACAGGCGGAGAAGGAGGCGAGAGCGAGAGCGAGAGCGAGAGAGCGAGAGCGCGAGCGATAGCGAGAGCGAGAGCGAGAGCGAGAGCGAGAGCGAGAGCGAGAGCGAGAGAGGAGAGCGAGAGCGAGAGCGAGAGCGAGAGCGAGAGCGAGAGCGAGAGCGAGAGCGAGCGCGAGAGAGAGCGGAGCGAGAGCGAGAGCGAGAGCGAGAGCGAGAGCGAGAGCGAGAGCGAGAGCGAGAGCGAGAGCGAGAGCGAGAGCGAGAGCGAGCGAGAGCGAGAGCGAGAGCGAGCGAGAGCGAGAGCGAGAGCGAGAGCGAGAGCGAGAGCGAGAGCGAGAGCGAGAGCGATAGCGAGAGCGAGAGCGAGAGCGAGAGCGAGAGCGAGAGCGAGAGCGAGAGAGAGCGAGAGCGAGAGCGAGAGCGAGAGCGAGAGCGAGCTAGAGCGAGAGCGAGAGCGAGAGCGAGAGCGAGAGCGAGAGCGAGAGCGAGAGCGAGAGCGAGAGCTGAGAGACGAGCGAGAGCGAGAGCGAAGAGCGAGCGAGAGCGAAGCGAGAGCGAGAGCGAGAGCGAGAGCGAGAGCGAGAGCGAGAGCGATAGAGAGAGAGGAGAGCGACGAGCGAGAGCGAGCGCGAGAGCGAGAGCGAGAGCGTAGAGCGAGGAGCGAGAGCGATAGCGAGAGCGAGAGCGAGAGCGAGGAGCGATAGCGAGAGCGATAGCGAGAGCATGAGCGCGAGCTAGAGCGAGAGCGAGAGCGAGAGCGAGAGCGAGAGCGATAGCGAGAGCGAGAGCGAGAGCGAGAGCGAAGCGAGAGCGAGAGCGGAGAGAGCGAGAGGAGAGCTGAGAGCGAGAGCGAGAGCGAGAGCGAGCGCGAGAGCGAGAAGCGAGAGCGAGAGCGAGAGCGAGAGCGAGAGCGAGAGCGAGAGCGAGAGCGAGAGCGAGAGCGAGAGCGAGAGCGAGAGCGAGAGCGAAGCGAGAGGAGAGCGAGAGCGAGAGCGAGAGCGAGAGCGAGAGCGAGAGCGAGAGCGAGAGCGAGAGCGAGAGCTAGAGCGAGAGCGAGAGCGAGAGCGAGAGCGAGAGCGAGAGCGAGAGCGAGAGCGAGAGCGAGGAGAGAGCGAAGCGGAGAGGCGAGAGCGAGAGCGAGAGCTGGAGAGCGAGAGCGAGAATCGACTAGCGATGAGGCGAGCGAGAGCGAGAGCGATAGCGAGAGCGAGAGCGAGAGCGAGAGCGAGAGCGAGAGGCGAGAGGCGATGAGCGAGGCGAGAGCGAGAGGCGAGAGCAGAGCGAGAGCGAGAGCTAGAGCGATGAGCGAGAGCGAGCGCTAGAGCGCGAGCGAGCCTGAGATCGAGAGCGAGCGCGAGAGCTGAGCTAGATCGAAGCTAGAGCGAGAGCGAGAGCGAGCGAGAGCGAGAGCGAGAGCGAGAGCGAGAGCGAGAGCGAGAGCGAGAGCGAGAGCGAGAGCGAGAGCGAGAGCGAGGAGGCGAGAGCGAGAGCGAGAGCGAGAGCGAGAGCGAAGCGAGAGCGAGAGCGAGAGCGAGAGTCGAGAGCGAGAGCGAGAGCGAGAGCGAGAGCGAGAGCGAGACGAGAGCGATAGCGAAGCAGCGCGAGGCGATAGCGAGAGCGAGAGCGAGAGCGAGATCGAGAGCTAGAGCGAGAGCGAGAGCGAGAGCGAGAGCAGAGCGATAGCGAGAGCTAGAGCGAGAGCTAGAGCGATAGCGAGAGCGAGATCGCGATCTAAGCTATAGCGATAGCGATAGCTGAGCGAGAGCGATAGCCTAGCTATATCTATACTATTCTATATCTAATCTATGCTAATCTATATCGATATCTATATCTATCGTATCTATATCTATATCTATATCTATATCTATATCTATATCTATATCTATATCTATATCTATATCTATCTATATCTATATCTATATCTATATCTATATCTATATCTATATCTATATCTATATCTATATCTATATCTATATCTATATCTATATCTATCCAAATTTTCATGTTTGGATCTTGGTCATTACACATTATATATTTTTACGATGCGAAATAAGGGGCGTATAGTCATATTTTATTCAAAGCTTTTTAAGTAAAATAGACGCCATAGCAAGGTTACTATAGATGCGTAGCTTTTACTCAAAAAGTCAAATCTCAAATTTAATGAGCACAAACAATGAGTACGTTCAGCAGATTGATTGATAAAGATTTTACGTTGCAAAGCAAACATGTTTAAATAATATGGAAAATTAATGTCTATAAATATACATGACAATAAATCGTCTAGCATTGTGCAAAGAGTAATAAACTCTCTGCAAACACGTTTAAAGCATTCTGCTGAACGCATCCAAGGCATAGTCTGGCGGATATATGATTAATGTGTTGTTTTGTTTGTAATCATTGATAGATTCGCTGTAGTCTGTTTATTTTATAATTTCTCGTTGTTATGCAAAGTTGACAACGTCATTTTTTTCGGCTCATTTCTATGTTCTTCGATCAGTTCAAATTTGCTTAGCGTCGAGATGAGACACGTGTGGACCTTAGTGGTGCTGATGACAGCATCGACTCTTGCGGAGTATCGAACATTGTATGGCGGGAATTTAATGGTTAGCAACGGCGGTTATATAAATAACAGGAATACCGGTATCATATCCGGAAGCCAAAGGGACAGACCTTTCGAAAATGTTGGAAATCAGGCCGGATATGGATTCTTTAATGGAGATATCAGCGGAGCTTCATTCGGACAGCGAACAGAAGGATCGTTAGGATCTAGCAATGGTGGAGAACCCTTTTTCACATCTGGACGTCAAAGAGGAGGACCTCTTGCGATTTCTGGCAGTATGCCTGGAGATGGTTTGGTAAATCGAGAAAGCAGCGGAGGATCCTTTGGACAAGGAAACACGGGACTAATAAGAGGTAGTAAAAGTGGGGGACCATTTAAAGTCAACGTCGATCAGGAAAGTATTATGTATGGAGGACAGAGCGAAGGACCTATTCGCAGTCAGTCTAGTGATGAAATAGTGAATAGCGGTAGCAGTGGCGGACTCTTTGGACAAAGGAGAACTGGATTAGTAAGGGGTAGTAATAGTGAAGGACCCTTTCAAGTAAATGCCGGCCAAGGTATTATAGCTGGGAACCAAATCGGAGGATCTTTTGGAAACCAGGGTACGCATGTAAACGCTGGCAGCGGTGGTGGATCTTCCGGACAAGGAAACATTGGATTAATAAGGGGAAGCAACACTGGAGGACCATTTAGAGTTAACGCCGATCAGGAAAGTATTATATCTGGAAGACAGAACGAAGGTCTTTTTGGAAATCAGGCTAGAGATGTATTTGTGAATGTTGGCAGCAGTGGAGGGCCCTTTGGACAAGAGAAAACTGGATTAATAAGGGGTAGTAATAGTGGTGGACCCTTTCAAGTAAATGTCGGCCAGGAAGGTAATATAGCTGGGGCACTTGGAGGATCTTCTGGAAACCATGTTGCACATGTAAACGCCGGCACCGGCGGAGGATTAATAGGGGGAAGCAACACTGGAGGACCATTTAGAGTTAACGCCGATCAGGAAAGTATTTTATCTGGAAGACAGAATGAAGGACTTTTTGGAAATCAAGCTATGGATAAATTAGTTAGCGGAGGCAGCAGTGGAGGACCCTTTGAACAAGGACAAAAAGGATTAATAAGAGGTATGAACAGTGGTGAACCCTTTCAACTAAATGTCGGCCAGGAAGGTATCACGTCTGGAAGCCACAGCGGGGGAACTTTCGGAAATGCTGGAAACATGCCTGTCGATGGGTTGGTAAATGGACACAATACTGGAGGACCGTATGGACGGGCAAGCGATAGATTAATACGAAGTAGCAGTGGTGAAGGACCTTTCAGATCTAACGGGCGCATCATATCTGAAAGCCAAAACGGCGGACCTTTCGGAAATCAAGCCGTAAATGGTTTGGTTAAAGGTGGTGTCAATGGAGGACCATTTGGTAAAATAGAAGGCGGTTTAATTCAAAGTAGCAGCAGTGGAGGCCCTTTTAAAGCAACTGGCGAGCAGGATGGTATCACATCTGGAGGCCAGAGTGGAAATATTTTTAGAAATAGTTCTGCTAATGGATTGATTAACGGTAGCGGCAGTGGAGGACCTTTTATGTGAGAAATATGTGCATTAAGCAGAGGCATAATAAAGATCAAATAGCTTTTAAGTTGTACATTTTCTTTCGATTAAAATACCAAATGACATTGAACTTTATGCAGGCAGCTGTTTTATTTTCCTGCTTTGTTAGATAGGAAGCAGTCCACAATTGTTAAAATTGATTTTCTGATTTATGTGTCTGTTTTTGCCGCATGTTGCCAGTCAAAGACAGCAGCGGCAGCAGCAGTATAGACGTCGCCTCCAATTCAGAATCATACTTAACATTTGCCCAGTCCAAAAATGCAGTCAAAGTTCTGCAATATGCAACAGTGCCCCACACTGTCCCCATCAAACCCAACCTGAACTGGCAACCTAACATTTTTGTGCTTGTGCAGCCAGGCGTTGATGGAGACATTCGCAAATGGCAGCGAG